ATGTAGTAGAATCCCTATACATGCCTGGACCGTATGAGGCTACAATGTCACAGTGAAATTTCAAAAGCTAAATTCGGGTTGAAGAAGATTTATGCCTCATTTAAATCGTATAATTTTTCTATTGGCATTCATGTACTTTCAGTGTTTACTAATTGTAACTTACTGCCACTTTCCAGTGGCCAACTGCCAGTGCACGGGCCGGTGTGTTTGTGTTACTGTGGATTTTTGCCTTTAATTTGGTACAGGGTGGCCAGTCTCTCTATTGCCGGCAGCCACGGCCGCACGGACAATCATGCGATTCTACAAGCTGCACCTGACTACGTCAGATGAGCTAAAAATTATGGTGACAGTTCACACTATTGCAACATATAATTATATTTGTGTGAATTTATATCTGACCTGTATTTTGGCTTGATAAACATCATCATCAGTACGATATTCAGACTCCAAGCTTCTTAGTTCTTCTTTTGGTCCAATAAGAGGTTGAGAATGTGCTATCTATGAATGCAAAAAACATGTGAAATAACTGTATACAAGATACAAGCTGTGAATATAAAGTAAACAACAACATTAGTGCATGCATTTCTAGAAATCAATGTTTAATGTTTACATACTCAGGCAATAATGGTAGTTTGAATATTATTAACAATAATAAATATTAATTGACATCACATATCTTACCTACACATTCTATTTGTCTAGTGATTGCATGTACTGTTTGTTAATTTATAAATTATTCACTGAGGTTGCAATTATTACCATCAGTAGTTGTTTTCTAACATAAATCCATTATAATGCATAATAATATTTTTAACCTGTCATTGAACATCATACTGTATATATATTATTACTGTCCTGGTACCAACCTCTTTCTCGATTTCTCTCTCTTGCGCTAAAATGGCCTCATCCTGATTCACAGCTAGACAAAGAAGTAATTAATGAATTTGGGTGTGTATAGTCAGTCTCAAATCCTATTGTATATAGTTGAAATAAATTACTCAGTTTGAGATAAGTCACTGTTCATAATCCATTACTGTTATTACCTCCTACAACGTGATTAGTCTCAGAGTGAAAGTAAAGAAACAATATCCTTCAAAAAAGACGACTGATATTGTAATGTACCGGTACCTGCCCTGCAGTGCTGCGACATAATATTGCATAATATTGCTAAAGAACTACATAATACCATGAGCACATATGATTATAATTGTATCGATGATAATAGCAGAGATATGTTTGACAAATTTCAAAAAATGAAAATATACAAATATTATACATACTAATTATTCTCAGACTCAACTAGCAGCTTCAATAGTCAATACAACTGCGGAGCACGAAATTAGCACCGGCCCACCGGTATATATATATGGAGGGCTAGTAGGCCTAACATTGGCAAAACACCGGCCCTTCGAGCATAGCATTAATTAGCAAATAGCCTACATTACTGTTTTACTTAAAGGATATCACGCCATGATTTATCAACATTTTACAAATTTGAAATCGAGAATGCAAGCGTTAAACATGACATTGAAAAAAACACTTCGGACATCATTCACAATCTGCATTACGCTTACAGTCTGTTCAACAGCTACTACGCCGCACACTACAACATTTGTGAGGGCTGATAAACTATCTTACTATGGACCTGTTAAGCAGGGGACACACCATGCAAATTCAGTTATCGCAGACAACGCAGCAGTGATTTTAAAACCGGCAGTGGATTTTAAAACCGCCGCGGAATTCGTATGGGTCCGCCTCAAAGCGCCGAGCGAATTTCATCCGCACCAAGAATTCGCAGCAATCAAACATGTTTGATATCTTTTCGCTGGGCGGATTTTAAAAGCCGCTGTGCCGTACAGATTCCATCTGTGTGGCCGTGGAAGCGAAACTCAAGCTGGCCGATGTATAATGCCAGCGAATAATTTTATCAGTATGCTAATCGGGTGATGAAAGTGGACCACAGACTGACTGTTGATGCGCCATGTTTGGAGCCGTGTGGCGACAGTAGACTCGGCTTGTAGTGCGTCCGCTGGGTCGTCCGCGAATCAGAATGTCCCCATGGTGTGTCCTGCTCAGATTTTATCGCGTGGCCGCTCGCCGAATATTTTCAAACGCAAATTTCGCTGGCGGAAATGATCGCACGCGGAATTCGCTTGGTGTGTCCTAGCTCTAATAGTTACATAGCCCTTCGCTCTACCCAAGGCGCCTGTGGCTATAGGTACTAGAGCTAGGTGTGGTCCTACGGCAGTCCCTTGGCTCTGAGCCGTGCAAAAATCTGAATTTCGCTGTCCTTGCACTGCTACTTCAATTGTGTATTTATTACCAGAGACACATGAAAAACCATGAGAAAAGCAAATGAGTTAAAAAGTAACATGTAACGCTATTCTGCGTGTCTAGAAAAATGCACCCAAATGCCTGTTTGCTATTTTTTAATTTTAATCAGTATAGCATATTTAGCACCTTTTCAGGGTCTCACCAAGTAAAAACTTACGTCTGGATGCAACTACTTATACTACTACTGACTGTCCTATAGATTATAGCCCTCCGCTCGCCCCCGTACGGGGCTACGGCCTGCCGCGGAGCGGAGGGGCTATACCTAGTTGTAAGTTCTAGAGCTACTATGAACTACAGTAGTAGTATAGTACTACTCAACTAACTAGTGATCTAGTGAACTGGTAGGTAGTGGAGTAGTCCTAGTATATACTAGTAGTACTAAACTTACGTCATGCGGGTCTATGTCCCCCCAGGGCCAGGGTAATATTGCCGGAGATACCGGAACGTACCCTGGGTGCGGTGCCGGTATACCGGAACGTACCCTGGTAATCACGGTATCCGATCATGCGTTCAGGCGTTCCCCTACGTTGATGCAAACGGGGCGCTGACGCGCCCGTTTGGGAAAGACTTCCCCCTGTTTCAATAGTTGCGCCCTGTTTAAATTACCGTCCGCCACCGATTAATTCCACCATCAAAAAATTTGACAGCGCAGGAATCGATCGTCAAGAATTACCCATTCGACCAAGGAACAGACGACAGCGTGTATTTTTACCGCTACCACGCATGCAACTGCAGACCATACACAAGTACAAAAAGGTAACCTGTCCCGAACCAACACAACTGTAACACCGACTCGGCTATTTATATATAACAAGAACCCCCAAATACCCGTGTCTATGGTGTGGTGCGCAATTCTACGCATTAATTAGTGGACCTACGGTAAAAAAACACCCCCTAGTTTCCACCTCCCTTTCCCCCTCGCCGCTCCCCTCTGTCCTCCCCCTGTTTCAATTCATCTGGGGAGAACCTGTGTGTTAGGGTTAGGCCGTTATGGGTTAGCAGGATACTCATTAGGCGGTAGGCGAACTCCTAGACTCTGTTAGTGGAGTAGCTGCAAGTACGGTCGGGCATATTGGATAGTACAGCGGTGACGTTCCGCAGTACCCTGGGAGACATATGACCCTCATCTGCAGCCCTCTAAGACCTTAGTAATGCTCATAGGGTCTGATGCCCCCAGGGTACTGCCTGGACGTACCCGGTGTACGCGTCCGGTATGCCGCGACGCTACCCTGTTCACTTTTGATATGGTTAGGAGTTAGGATTAGGGTCTAGGGTTAGGTTAGTAGGTTAGGGTTAAGGGGAGTAGGTGTAGGGACTCCCAGACTCGGTAGTGGAGTAGGCGAGTACGGGTCCGGCATATTATTATTAGATAGTACCAGGTTACGGTTCGCGTATACCGGACCGTCACCAGCGGTACGTTCGCGGCAGCTACCCAGGGGACATAAGACCCCTCTCGTGGCTCTATCCGCTCTTAGCAATACTTAATAGTAATAGCTTAGTACTAATTCACTATGTGAGTAATAGCTAATACTAGTAGTAATTACTAATACTAGGTAGTAATAGTAATAACTATACTTAGTAGCAGTACTTACTACTTACTACGTAGTTAGCTAGAATATACTACTACTAGGTAGTAGTAGTAGTAGTACTAGTACTAGCTACAGCAGCACAGCGTTAATAGCCTAGTAGTGAGTAGTAGGTAGTACAGTGTAGTTAGTAGTTAAGGCCTACTACCATAAAACACAAACAATGTTATATTCCAATAATATAAAACTATGCATAATCTAGATATACCTAGTATATCATAATGCAGTGACTAGTAAATACATACAGTCTAATTCATTAAAGTCCGGCGCATTTTCGGTGACCAGCTTATTTTCTTCCATGTCGGCAGATTACGAGTCAAATTTACAACCAAAGCTGGGTTATCGGTACTAGACGTACGACGACGTCCTTGTGACTGTTCAACAACATACAGCCATCGACATAGGATTAGTCAATAATTAAGGTAGACTGGTACCCGGTCCCACTTCTCGGCTTAGTTACTCGATGGGGCCATCGAATAATCGAGGTGGGAGCGAGTACCAGTCTATAATTAAGGTACATACGTGGGTAGTTATTGTTCCCTCGTATAGTGAGGATTGTGGGATATCCGTCCGCTTCCATGGAAACCCGCTGAGCGTTTTCTCGTTTTTGTTCGTATTTATGGATAACTAGATAAATATCTGGATATCCATGGATATATTTTATCATTCCTGGCTAATAATAGTCAGCTTTGGTGTTGTCACGCAAATTATTACAATAAAAATAGAATAGAATTGAGAACAACAGTAGAGTTGCTAGTCTGTAGTCAATGTGACAAGCCGAGTCTAGTCTAGAACTTGGAGTTGGAGTTGGAAGTTCTATTCAACGTCAAGCCGGATTTGTGCGACGCAGGCTTTTACGTTTTTGTGTTGCGTAAACATAGCCATAGGCATAGGCACCTGTAGACTGTAGTGTAGACCATAGCATCTATATAACACGTCATCATGGTGTCTCAAACGCGAGGTATAATACATATATGTAATTAATATTAATAATGTAGTGTAATTAATATTAATAATGTAGGCCTAAATATAATTTAAATGTATAGCCAATAAATATTACATCATACAATACATCATTACATCATACATCATCTTACCACAGCCTCATGGCACTTGGGTTCAAGGATAAAAAAGATGTCCAGTACGGTGATTGGATATAGGATGATGTTAGTTGATTATAAGATAGGACTGGACTGTGGACATGCATCTTCTCTATCCCTGACTCTGAGCCGTCGTTGCGACTGGCTGGTCAGGGTTCGATAAATAGCTCTCATATACACTCTTATACACACTATGGTAGGCGCAGATCGGGGTTGCTATTTATTGAACCCCGACCAGCCAGTCGCAATTAGTACCTGTGAGGCTGTGTGTCTTATTGAATATTGTCAGTAATTAGTAATAGTATTATACTATTAAGTAGGCCTAAGTAAGTAGTATTAAAGTTGTACTTAAGTAGCTTAGGCTGCCCTAACCTATAGACCTATAAATTATAATTTATAAATTAAAATATTAATTATTATACTGTATATATTCCAGGGTTCTCTCCAGGAATTTCAGAAGACAATTTAATACTGGTATTAAGTGTAATGATACACTATAGAGCTCCGAAGTGATGACGTCACAGTGGCATGACAACACGCCGCACACTACAACATTTGTGAGGGCTGATAAACTATCTTACTATGGACCTGTTAAGCAGGGGACACACCATGCAAATTCATTCGCACAACCGCAGTGGATTTTAAAACCGCAGTGGATTTTAAAACCGCCGCGGAATTCGTATGGTGTCCGCTCAAGCGCGAGCGAATTTCATCCGCACCAAAATTCGCAGCAATCAAACATGTTTGATATTTTCGCTGCGGATTTTTACCGCTGCGTACAGATTCGCATTGTGTGGCCGTGGAAGCGAAAATCAAGCTGGCCGATGTTATAATGCAGCGAATAATTTATCAGTATGCTAATCACGTGATTGAAAGTGGACCACACGACTGACTGTTGGAGCCATGGTTGGAGCCGTGTGGCGACAGTAGATCGCTTGTAGTGCGTCCGCTGCGGTCGTGCGAATAAATTCGCATGGTGTGTCTGCTCAATTATCGCGTGGGTGCGAATATTTTCACCGCAAATTTCGCTGCGGATATGATCGCAGCGAAATTCGCTTGGTGTGTCCTAGCTCTATAGTACTATAGCCCTTCGCTCTACCACAGGCGCCTGTGGCTATAGTACTAGAGCTAGGTGTGTCCCTACCAGTCCTTGGCTCTGAGCCGGTGCAAAAATCTGAATTTCCTGTCCTGCACTGCTACTGTCAATGTGTATTATTACCAGAGACACATGAAAAACCATTTAAAAAAAGCAATGACGTTAAAAAGTAACATGTAACGTAATTCTGCGTGTCTAGAAAAATGCACCCCATCCGTTGCTATTTTTAATTTTATCGGTATAAGCATATTTACACCTTTTCAGGGTCTCACCAAGTAAAACTACGTCTGAGCAACTACTTAACTAGCTACTACTGTCTATAGATTATAGCCCTCCGCTCCACGCCTACGGCTACGGCCTGCGGCGGAGCGGAGGGCTATACCTAGTTGTAAGTTCTAGAGCTACTACTGAACTACAGTAGTAGTACTAGTACTACTACTACTAGTACTACTACTGGTAGGTAGGAGTAGTCTAGTACTAGTACTAGTAGTACTACTACTGCTCATAGGGTCTATGTCCCCCCAGGGCCAGGGTATTGCCGGAACCGGGAACGTACCCTGGGTGCGGTCCGGTATACCGGAACGTACCCTGGTAACTACGGGTATCTGATATGGTTCAGGGTTCTCCCTACGTTGAGCAAACGGGGCGCGCGCGCCCCGTTTGGGAAAACTTCCCCCTGTTTCAATAGTTGCGCCCTGTTTAAATTACCTCCGCCCCGATTAAATTCCACCATAATAAAAGTTTGACAGCGCAGGAATCGATCGTCAAGAATTCCCATTCGACCAGGAACACCGACGCGTGTATTTTTACCGTACCACGCATGCACTGCAGACCATACACAAGTACAAAAAGTTAACCTGTCCCGAACCCAACACCAAACTGTAAGCACGACTCGGCTATCTTATATATAACAAGAACCCCAAAATACCGTCTATGGTGTGTGGCAATTCTACGCATTAATTAGTGGTAGGCGGTAAAAAACAACAAAACATAGTTCCCTCCGCTTTCCCGCCTCCCCCTCCCCTCCTCCCCTCCCCATGTTTCAATTTCATCCTCGGGGAGAACGCCTGCTGGTTAGGTAGGGTAGGGTTAGAGAGTACTCAGTAGGCGTAGGCCTCTTAAAGACTCGTTTAGTGGAGTCAGCGAAGTACGGTCCGGCATATTGGCATAGTACCGGGTACGTTCCGGCAGGTACCTGGGAGAATAGACCCTCTCATCTCAGCCTCTAGGACCTTAGTAATGCTCATCAGGGTCTATGTCCCCAGGGTACTAAACGCGGAACGTCCACCCTGTTACGGTCCGGTATGCCGGAACGTACGCCTAGGTCACTATTTGATATGGTTACGGGTTAGGATTAGGGTTAGGGTTAGGTTTAGGGTTATGGGTTTAGGAGTAAGGCTGTAGGCGATCTCCCTAGACTCGTTGGAGTAGGCGAGGTACGGTCGCATATTTTATTAGATATACCTAGGGCTACGGTTCGCGGTTATAGCCCGACGCGTACCCAGGGTACGTTCCGGCAGTACCTCCAGGGGACATAGATCCTCTCCTGGCTTCTCCAGCCTTATGTAATACTTATTATTAGTAATACTTAGTAACTAATACTAGTAGTACAATACTAAATACATAGTAGTAAATCTAATACATAGTAATAGTTAGATATAACCTAGTAACTTGTAAGGCAGTACTAACTACTACTAGTAGTAAGTACTGTAGTACTACTACTAGTGAGTAGTAGTAAAGTAGTAGTAGTACTACTACACAGCACTAGGTTAATAGCTAGTAGTAGTAGTAGTAGTAGTAGTACAGTAGTAGTAGTAGGCCTACTACCATAAAACACAAACAATGTTATATTCCAATAATATAAAACTATGCATGAATCTTAAGATATACCTCTAGTATACTTTCATAATGCAGTGACTATAAATACATACAGTCTAAATTCATTAAAGTCTCGGCGCATATTTTCGGTGACCAGCTTTATTTCTTCCATGTCGGCAGATTACGAGTTCAAATTTACCAACCAAAGCTGGGTTATCGGTACTCAAGACGTACGAACGCTAACGTCTTGTGATTCTTAATATATCCTGTCAACAAACGAATACAGCCATCGACATAGGATTAGTCAATAATTAAGGTAGACTGGTACCGCCGATCCCACTTCTCGGCTTAGTTACTTCGATGGGCCATCGAATAATCGAGGTGGGACCGAGTAACCAGTCATATAGATTAAGTACATACGTGGGTAGTTATTGGTTCCCATCGTATAGTGAGGATTGTGGGATATCCCCGCTTCCGATGGAAACCCGCTGAGCCGTTTTTCTCCGTTTTTTTGTTCGGTATTTATGGATAACTAGATAAATACTGGAATATCGCATGATATATTTTATCATTCCTGGCTAATAATAGTTTCCAGCTTTGGTGTTGTCATCGAATTATTACAATAAAAATAGAAATTCAGATCTGAGAACCAGTAGAGTTGCTAGTCTTAGTCCAATGTGACAAGCCGAGTCTAAGTCTAACTGGAGTTTGGAGTTTGGAACTCAAGCCGATTTGTGCCGACGAGAGCAGAGCTATTTACGTTTTGTGTTGCGTAAACATAGCCATATAGGACAATAGGAGGCCACCTGTAAGACTGTAGTGTAGACCATCAGCATCTATAATAACGACCCTCACATGGTGTCTAAAGCGAGGTATCAAATACTATATGTATTAATATTAATACCTGTGTGCCTAAATATGAATTTAAATGTATAGCCACATAAATATTACATGCATACAATACACTCATTACATCATACAGTCATCTACCACAGCTCTCATGGACTAATTGGGTTCCAAGATAAAAAAGATTGTCCAGTACGGTGATTGATATAGGATGATCGTTAGTTGATTATAAGAACCTAGGACTGGACTGTGGACGTGCAATCTTCTCTATCCCTCGACTCTGAGGCCGTCGTTAGCGACTGCTGGTCAAGGGTTCGATAAATAGCTCTCAATATACCACTCTTATACACACTATGGTAGGCGCAGCATCGGGGTTCTATTTATTGAAAACACCCCGAACCAGCAGTCGCAATTAGTACGCTGTGAGGCTGTGTGTCTTCTTGAAATATTGTCAGTAATTAGTAATAGTATATATACTATTAAGTAGCCTAGAGTAAGCTAGTATTAAAGTTGTAGCTTAAGTAGCTACGCTGCCCATAACTATAGACCTATAAATTTATATATTTATAGAATTAAAATATTCATTATTATTACTGGTATATATCCAGGGTTCTTCCTCCAGGAATTTCAGAAGCCCCATTTAATACTGGTATTAAGTGTATATGATATCACTATAAGAGCTCCCCGGAAGTGATGACGCTCACAGTGGCCATGAACAACGCCGACACTGGTCTCTACGACCACTAAAATCCATGATATTCTCTGGTAACATTCAACGGCGGTCGTGTTTTGTACCCGTTGTAACCATCATCTGAGAGTGCATTAATTGCAGTTTTATCAGATTATCTAAAGATGGAGTGAAAAGCAACGAAAAAAAAAAATAAATAATAATAATTAAAAAAAAAAAAAATTAAATATTGTAAGATCGACTTGCTACTGATGCTTTACCGCTGTCTGCAGCGCACACACTCGTGTTTACGTAGCACAAACATTTTCACACAGCAGTTAATGTTATGGAGCAGGGGGTTGTGTAGAACCATGGGTTCGTTGTCATGCCACTGTGACGTCACACTTCGGTACTCTATAGGGTCATGATACGATATCATACGTGTGTCGTATCTCGATACGTATAGATCATATGATATGATACGTATTGCGATACACAGGCAGAAGAAAGAGAGATAGTAAATTCCAAGTTATTGTCAATTTTTCATACAAAAAACATTCAGTAATACTATATTATATATTTCTATGGCTGAAGCACATCAAGACGGTCTGAGTGCTTTAGACTAGAGTCTAGGCTAACATGTAATCGACAGCTCCACTCACATACGTGCCATACACAATGTGCCATGCAGTGTAGCTCTAGAACTATAGTGAAGCCCTTTGCTCCGCCACAGGCGTAACAGGATAGCCTCCAGTGGCAGAGCGAAGGGCTATAGTTCTAGAGCTATATACACAGTAAAAGCGCGTGCTACATTATGTGTACAGGAACGACACGCACCTGTCAATCGCTTTCGTGATTGTTTTGCAGTAACAATATTGGCAGAAATACCAAGCATGCCATATATATTGGCCCAGATTTCTATGACATTCAAGGATATTTACGTGATACTGAAAGGGAATTCAGATAATCATAATAGAAGAAAGTATTCAAATTTAAAGGAATTACATGTGCTTCATTAAATAGCTTAGCTTGTTTTATTCACTGTTTAACATCCGTATCGTTTGTATCGCGATACAGACGCGCGTATCGATTATCGTATTGTGGACTGTTGTAGCGCAATTCGTTGATGTATCGGTGAATCGTTACACCCCTAATATATCAGTATATCAGTGTCATTCGTGATCATTCAAGCCCTATGGTGTGTATTCCTTTACTCCACCATTCTCCTCCCAATGTTGCAAAGTGAAGGCCTACAAATATGTAGAGCTAGATTAACTAGTAGTACTGATCTACGTAATAATATAATAATTAATAGTACTAGTAGTGACGTTGGGAGTGATGGTGGTAGTACTTAGTGACGGCGACTGCTGCCACAGTGGCAGCAGCAATAGTAATACAGTGTGGCCCTGTTATATAACACGATCGTTGAGGTCCATAAAATGTCATCGCGAAAAAAGCGGGGTTGCGCTAAATCGGGGTTCAAGAAAATCACTGTATAAACTGACCCAATGTTGACCCAATGGCCCTGTCACACCTTGATGATTTAGCCAGCATATGCCGACGTATCAAAATTTCTCTAAAACGCTGGCATAAGCTGAACTATCGATGTTTTTTTCAATTTTGGCCGTATACATAGCGTATTCATAACGAGTTGGACGTATACTTAACGTATTAGTAACGTATATATAGAACGTTTCGATAACTTATAGATAACTTATACCAACGAATGCTTAGCGTGTTGCCGGCGTTCACAACTTATGCCCAACGATAGTCTAACTTATGCATAGCACGCGGCAGCGTATCGCCGACGATCGCGTGTCGTAGCTTATAAAAAGGCTGCCGCTCAACGATTCAAATCATAACCGCACTAGACATCGCAGTATATCAACATCACCGTCACAGTATCAACATACCAATAACATTTTTATATACCAATTCCCCTAAACGCTGCCAATACGCCATTATACGGTAGCTGTAAGTTAGAAACACGTTCAGTAAGTTCTGTGGTCATCCGGAACACGTCAAATACGTCTACATACGTCAATATGCGTTGGAGATAAGTTATACACATAGGTTCAAAGCACGTTACTCATAGGTTAGAAATAAGTTTTGGGTACGCTAGACATTATCTCGACGTATTTCGACTTATGAGTAACTTAATTACAAGTAACGTGTGTGAACATGTGTCAACGATCGCATAACTTGCCTACAACTTATCATTATGGCCCGCGTATGCGGGACGTATGGGCATACGCTGGCATACGTCGGAAAATTTTGAGCATGCTCAACATTTTCCGACGACCTTGCCGTACTACGACGTATACCAGCGTGCTTCAGCGTGCTCTTATAACTTATACAAAGCTTACCCATAACTTATTCGACGTACGCCAGCGTATTCACCAAATTTTTCATACGTCGGTATACGCTGGCTTTCATACGGAGGTGTGACAGCACCATTACATCCTAAAACACCCGTGCTATTTTCGCCCTATTTGACCTGTTTTTTGTTCGAATGCATAATGAACAATGCATAAAAGTGAACAATGCAAATGAAACAATGCAAACAGTCATATGCACAACATGCACACAGCAACAAGTCATGTAAACTAATTTAGTTGCGCGATCTATAGGCGATCGTCGCTTTAACTTAAGGCCGGCTTAACACACCAAAAAACTTCAGTTCTGGAAATTAAGAGCAAAAAAAGGTTCAATGACTCATCACGTTATATCCGAATTCGCGTTAAATCGGGTCACGTAAAATCGGGGTTTCACTGTAGTAGGATCGAGTGCGTGCGTCTATACTATCATTGATAGCCTATATCTTCTTCTTACTTTATGAGGTCAAGTTGTAAATACCAACATTATTTTTATATTTGCATATAGGAAACTCCGGTGTGAAGATATCACAGAGTTCTTCTCGCACAAAATTCATGGCAAAGGCAGTTGTTCCAGCTTCACATAGACGAGAACTCCACCATAGAGATGACTCCTTTATCTTCCAGTTGGCCACACATGTGCCTGACATGGTAGTGTTAAGGGATCAAAACCAACCTATGCCCTTTAGAAAAGAGTTTAGTGGAATCCTAATGTTTGCTGATGTCTCAGGTGATATACTTAATGCGACACATGAACCCTATATAGCTTCCTTGCATGTTTTCAGTTCAAACAAGTTTGTTGGTTATGCTGCATAGAAAATGTCATTGTTCAATATTTATTAGAAATATTTTAAAATTCTTTTAAAACTGACAAATATACCAGTGCTTACAACGACAGTGGCGCCACCACAAGCGAATGCTGACAAAGTTGCGCAACGCAACTTATCGGCTGCAGGCTACAGACCGAGGGTGTTTTTTATTTATTAATGTAAGAGGAGAATGATTGCAATATCTTATAAACCACTCTCAGTTTCAGTTATAATATGAACGAATTTGACCTAAAATAAAAAGCGTTTGGTTAAATATCAGTTACGTATAAATATATTTGCACTTTTGTGATTAGCCCTATGTCTGTAACATGCAAAATTAATTTGTAAAGGCGCAACTTTGTCAGGGTGGCAGCACAATCGTGCAGTGTCACAAGGTCAGTGATAAAAAATAAAGGTTTCGAAAGTCACTGTCGTTTTATGACAAATCTGAATGCGTGATTATAGAAATTTGTAGGTATATGCTATTATTTATGCACTTACTATCATAATATCAGTAGTGAATAATAATAGATTCTATAATTCTAGAATAATAGATTCTATAATCGAATTTATTGTTATTCATTCCTGATAATATACTATAAAATTCTAGGGGGTATGTGCATCTGTGTGTGTGTATTATATATAACAAAATTTCATGTGCATTTACAAACTCTTGTGTAGTTTGTTTTACTTATTACTTTAATTAGTTTACTTTAATATTTAGATTTAAATGATAACTTATTTTGTGCATACCTTTAGGCTTCACATCGCTAACAGAGAAGTACAGTGCGAATGCCAAAAGCGGTGCTGACCAACTAACAAAAACACTCAACGAGTATATTGGCGCTATCTGTGAGGGAATTATAACTGCAGATGGTGACATTCTGAAGTTTGCAGGTGTGTTTATCGTGTATGGTTAAATTAATTTGCGTATGGTAAATACTAGATGAATAACTCAGATTTACTAGATTGATCATATCCATTCATTGTCTGCAACATTAATTACAATAGAGCGTATATTGAATGTAAATGTGTGGAGATATTATATTCTACTATATTAGGAGATGCCATCCTGGCAGTGTGGCCGTGTGAGCCAGATGAGCTGAAGGGTGCTCTGCTGAAAGTTATCCATTGTTGCCTTGACATTCAAGACAAGTATGGGGAGTGGAAGACTGATATTGGAGTCAAACTTAGGGTAAAAATGGGTGAGAAATATTACTTCATCATGATTTCGATTTGCTTTATATGTTATTATATATTCTTAATAGTAGTTTAATGAAACATTGCAATGGCATTTCTACCATTTGTTCATGGCACTGCATTTTGTGAGTATAGATTGAATGGCATTTATGAATTGAAAGAATATTTTTGAGTTACAAATTAATACAGTGTCAGATTGAGCAAATGTGTTTCAAATGTCTGTTGTTGGAAATTACTGATATTAGGTTCTTTTGATTTCTGTTGCAGCAATTGCGTGTGGGGAGCTGTGTGTCATGTTTCTTGGAAATGACGAATTCCAGCACTACGTGACTACAGGAAACACTGTAAATGACGTCAACAAAACAGAGAAGTTCTGTGAGCCTGGCTGGGTTGTTCTCTCTCCATACGCGTGGTCACTGTGCGATGCAACGACAATGGAGTATCAAATGATGGATGATGATCAGCATGTCAGAGTGAGTCTAGGGTGTCAGTGACGTATGAAATAGGTATAGTCTATATCTATAATGATTCAATATCTAATCTGTTAGCTCTTGCAGCAAATTTTTGTCATGGCATGAAGTAGTTATATAGTTAACATTTAATAGTGTCTGCTTAGCACTTTTTATGAGTATTGGAAATATTTGTCCATGAGCTATATGTGCAAAATACATAGTGGGAACACTTTTTTTTAACCATGACTATATGCTTCTGTTTGAAAGGTTTCTGCAGTGTTCACTGAACAACCTGCTCATTATCTATTAAGAAGAACCTACAGTTACTTCACAACAGTTGCAGGACTTCGCAATGAAAGCCACACCTTTTCCGATATCAACAAAAACCTCACTCCGGTTATATTCAGCAGACCATTCGGTATAAATTCCTTGTTATATTCTCGTGCCATCTATATGTTGAAAAGTAAGAGATAGCTAAATAAAAGTAAGGTTTTTTAGGGGCAACCGATTACTGTAATGAGTTAAAAATATTTTGTTATCCAATGGTGTCTATCTTATCACGTTTATTTTGAATGTTAATTACCAATTATTTGGAGGTACTATAGAGCCATCAATTAAAAATTATTACAGTATTGTCAGTAACTGTTCATATTTTGTGTGTGTGTAAATTGCAGTTACTGCTTCTCAAGATAGCATCGCAGAAGAACGTAAAAAGCTTAGATGTAAGCCACAGATTATGCTGCTATTAGTTGATCTCATCTCTATCTCGATCTCTCTCTCTCTCTCCCCCCTCCCCCCTCTCTCTCTCTCTCTATCTTTTTTCTCTTTTTCTCTCTCTTCCTTCACCTCTTCCTTGCTCTCGTTCTCTTTCGCTCACTCATTCACCCACGAACCTACCTGCCAGCCTGTTCTTTCCCTTCCTCTCTATAATAGATTGAGTAAGAGAGATAATCTGGTATAATATTAATTAAAAGTTACAAAAATGCAAACATGTGCGCGCACGCACGTGCACATGCGCTCATACATGTTACAAGTATTACTTGTGATTCCTACCCATATTTAATTTTCGAAAAGGTAATTTGCAATAAATAATAAACCTATATGTAATTTATGATGAAGAAAATAATAATACAGGAATTTCTTTGCATTCTCTAAGTGTTACACTTGTTTTTAGTTCGTAGGTCTGTTTTTCTTGATAGCGAGGAAAGCTTGGTGCAAGATTTGAGAAGATATGTCATTTCTCCCGTTAGGAAAAAGGTAATCATGTTCATGCATGTAATAACAGACATGGTAGCTATAGCTATGATGTACTTACTCACTATAACACTTTACTCTAACTGCTGTAGGCCCTACTGTACTGTACTGTACTGTACTGTACTGTACTGTACTGTACTGTACTGTACTGTACTGTACTGTACTGCACTGTAATTACTAATTAACACGCTAAGTGTATTATTTTATTGCTAGATTGATGACAACCAGCCCGTGGAGTTTCTGTCAGAGATGAGAGAAGTCACGATTGTGTTTATGAATATGGTTTTAAAAGAGACAACTCTAAGAGAGCAAGTTTATATTCTGCAGAAGGCCTTTGAGGTGATCTACCGCAATGTTGAGCGCAAACGGGGTATGTCTGCCATGTTGATGTACGTTTGTCTCTTTAATATATGTTATTCATGTAGCAAGCACCATAAGGTGTAGAGGTTTTTAAAACGATCATTGCAAGAATTTTGCTCAGAAAAACTAAATATAGCTGAATATAGTCTCACCTGACAGCGAAAATATCACTGATTACACCAACATTCAAAACACCAATATTTTATGCAGTTATAGCATAGAAAAATTGATTTGACCACATCATACCAGCAATACATTTTTTCGAGTCAAGACTTTCAAAAATTACAAATGGCGTCTCAAACAAGCGAACATAATTAAAACAAAGAGCTAGGCATCTATTTGTGTGTGATAAGTATTCTCGCTGGCGTTTCGCAACGAGGATTTGATCCACTTCTCTCTCCGTCTTCGTTATAGTTCCTAGGACTTTTGAAGACTATAATATTTATGAGGTTACAACTTACACTCTTGTTTGTGTTACGCTACTATGCACCTCTGTGTTTACATCTGACCAAAAATATCTCCGGTGCGATTTTTGCATTACTGTACCCTTGTTGACGTCTCGCGGTACCTCGAGAAAGTGCGAGACATGACAGCGAAAATCAACAAGAGAACGCAAAATTGTAATCGTGCATGATTTTGTCTTTGCATGCGGTTCTAAGACATTTTATTGTTATTTCAAACAATTACTGTTACTCAAGCAACAACGGTAGGCATCATGAGAGTGAGAATAAACACTAAAAAACGCTGAAAACAACTCGCAATGATCGCTTTAATAGACTCGATCCCATTAACTGCTTTTATAACTCGTTTACATAAACTCGCTGTAGAAAATCATTAGATATGCTGTAGTAATTGTCAAATGTGATGCTGTTGCCCCTCTATATGAAGAAAATAATTTATATGCAAATTTTGTGCATTTGTCTTTGTAACATTTGTGAGGTATGTGTAGCAGTGAATTATAAATAACCACACTCAAAAACACTATATTTCACATATGTTATATGTGGGGTGTTGCTTGTTAAACTGCTATTATTTTGTGTATACATTAATTAGGTTGTAAAATGTGTTGATTGCACTTTTACAAATATCATTTTAAGAAAGAGTTGCACTTCAGTGCTGATAAAGTTTCTGCATAGTGCATATAGTATATATCATGAGAAATAATAAAAACAAACAATGTTTTTATTTACTTCTGATATTATGCTTAGTCTGTGTGTAGTTTGTGTACATATATTTGAGTTTCTTTATATATATAAATGGTAATCCTGGTTTTAATATTTTCAGGTTGCATGAATAAGATATTCATGTTTGACAAGGTAACTGCACTTGAATAGAGCTATGAAATGAAATGAATTGAAGATGACCAGCTATAGGATATTTGCATCGTAGTGTCCTAGATGAAGTTATTAAAATTACATATGATATGTAATATAACTGACTACTAAAACTTACTCTATATCTTGTGCAGTATAAGGTTCTCAATTAAAAAATGTTTACATTAATTTGCTTTTGAAACTTGTGTGGTCGAGTCAATATAATTCTATAATTATAATTCTAAATTTATATAATTAGTAACTCTATATCTTGTGCAGTATAAGGTTCTCAATTAAAAAATGTTTACATTAATTTGCTTTTGAAACTTGTGTGGTCGAGTCAATATAATAATATATGGATGCAGATTTTGCAAGTGTATTTTGATTTAATTTCATAATGAGATGATCAGCTCAATTGCAGGGTACAACGTTTCTGGTTATCTTTGGACTGCCTGGCTACAAGGAAGAAGATGAGACAGCCAATGCGCTTCAGGCAGCGTATCGTATGACGAATGAGCTCAATGCAACGAATGGAATTCTGTAAGCAACTCGTGATTGAGAATGTTACTGTGCTTTCTTACTTATGCAGTAGACATTGCTCTATTGTTCAGCTAGAGTAGGTAGAGAAACAATTAAGGAGTTATAGGTTACCAATTTTTTTATTAGCTCATCTGACGTAGTTAGATGCAGCTTGTAGAATCGCATGATTGTCTGTACGTTTGTGCGTCCGTCCGTGCGTGCGTCCGTCAACAGTTGGGCACAAATCTTAACCGCTCGACGTACGGTCACGATATTCGGGACGTCGGGGGGGATCGTGAAAAGGACTCGGGATGACCAACTTGGGGGGCAAGGGTCAAAGGTCAAGATGTGTAAACGGAGGGGGAATATTTCCCCCTTAACTTAAGGTATAGGAGGAAATACGAAATTGCGGTACAAATCTTAACGGCTCAACGTATGCTCTTAATATTCGGTGTATAGTGTGATGGGCAGGAAACCCATCACCAGTGCGAAATTGGAGGTCACAGGTCAAAGGGCAGTGGGGGAAAGGTCAGATATCAGACATTTTCTGAGGACATGGCCTAATGGACAGAGTGAAAAACTTTTTTGTTTCAGCACTGACCTACCATTTTTATCACTTTATTGAAATTAGGACCATGAAATGTGCTTTCCACTGACGTGCGAAGAGTAAGTGTCTGATAATCTTTTGACCCTGAAAGGGAGGGTTCAACATGGATTTGTTGACTGTTAACAAAGGACTGAACTGATTTTGCTATTATTAGAGCCCATACCTATGTGGATGTGAGGCTACATTTGCAGTTCAATTGCAAAGACAAAAGTTTGTTGAACTATAGGTTTACACTCCTTATAAATCATATTATTTTCTAAAGCAGTCTGTATATATTAATAGCACCCTGAATGCTCGCGTGGCTACCGTCATCCGAAATGTAGGCAAAAACCTGGGGGCAACCCATTACTCATGCATGGGGGTGAACTGGCACTTTTCTAATAAACATGCACACCTGCAATGCAGATGTGTTTAATTGATTACTCGATCACAGCTGAGCGAAATTGTCGCCTGCCTGAATATACTTGGATTTTAGCCTGTAAATTTCAGCAACTCAATGGAATTAGGTTATCTCTACTTTCTTGACTTATCACCAATGCACAAAGGGTGATGCCATCTTTGATTATTGATTACACTTGCACGCGCCATCTCGCGGCAACTATAGGCCTAGTGATACGTACGTACATTATGACACGAGTATATAAGACAGTCGAGCAGGTATGAAGTAGGATATGCATTGTTAGGGTTTAGTTTTAGTGTTAATACCTATGCTACACAGATTTGATGATGACGTAGCCGGTTTAGCGATAGAACATGCTTTCAACCTTTTGCAGAAACGAAGGCCAGTACAGTAGAGCAGCAGACCTCAGATGAGCACTGTTGCTAATGCGGCACTTGTTGTATATGTAGGCATTGTGAATGTTACAGGAAGCACTTTGAGAGCGCATTATCCATGAGTGTCATACAAAATTTGAGATATTTGATATATATTTAATATATATTTGTTTTTTGAAATATTTCAGGAGAACTTCCATTGGTGTTACTGTGGGATCTACATTTTGTGGTGTGGTTGGACACAGGCACAGGCATGAATATACAGGTAAATGATTGAACGCTGCTGCAGGGGCATGATTTTTTTATCATTTTTAGCTCATATGACATAGTCGGATGCAGCTTGTAGAATCGCACGATCGTCCGTCCGTCCGTGCGTGCGTCCGTCCGTCCGTGCGTCAACAGTTGGGCACAAATCTTAACCGCTTGACGGTGACGATATTCGGGACGTCGGGGGGGATCGTCAAAACGAGTTGGGATGTCGAAGCTGGGGGGTCAAAGGTCAAAGGTCAAGAGGTGTAAAAGAAGGGGGAACATTCCCTCCTTAACTTAAGGTATAGGGAGGAAATGCAGAATTGCGGCACAAATCTAAATGGCTCGACCTAGGCTCGTGGTAGTTGGTGTATAGCATCATGGTAGGAAAAGCCATCACTGTGTCGAAATTGGAGGTCACAGGTCAAAGGTCAATGGGGCACAGGGCAGATTTTAGACATTTTCTGAGGACATGGTCTGACGGAGCGATTGAAAAACTTTTTTGTTTCAGCGGTGACCTAGCATTTTTATGGCTTTATTGAAAGGACCATGAAATCTACTTTCTGCTGACATGCGAAGAGTAAGTGTCAGATAACCTTTTGACCCTCAAGAGGAGGGTTAAACATGGATTTGTTTACTGTCTGTTAGAAAGAATTTGACTGCCGGGTTTGCTAGTAGAATCTATACATGCCTGGATGTACGAGGCTACAATGTCACAATGAAATTTCAAAAGCTAAATTTGGTTGAAGAAGGTTTATGCTCCTTAAATCGTATAATTTCTATGGCATTCTGTACTGTCAGTATTTTACATGTAACGTATGCCACTGCCAGTGGCCACTGCCAGTGCATGTGGTGGTGGTACTGTGTAGTTTTTGCCTGCATTAATTAGTTACAGGTGGCAGCTCTCTATTGCAGCCTGTAGGCTTGCATAGGTAAATGGATGAGTGCTTACCTATTCTGTCTTGCAAATAGTTGTTGCTACTACGTACGATGGGAGCTTCCATCTTTAATCTGAAGACACTTAAACGTACGCGCCATCTCGTGGCAACTTTTATATCGATCCCAACGAACATTCCTTTGAGAAGGTTCCTGATACCATCCCTGTGCATTCCACTGTTTCGGCGTGTATGTGAACACATTTGGGACTAACAGGGTTTACTAGAATCCCACCACTCCACCACAGAGTCACCGCAGTAGACGTTAGATGAGCGCTGTCGCTTCGCGGCACTTGTTTTCCTTTTGCGATGTCAGATGACCTGTGAGGTCAAATCCAATGTGCCCATGACATTCAGCATCCAAAGTCACATCTAATGGCCATCCTTGGACATATCTAGAGTGGCCCATATTGATTTGAATCGAGAACAGATGAACAGAGAAACTTCCACAAATATGTATTATAGATTAATGAAAGATAAAATCCTGTAAAGATCAATAATTTGATTGAATTAATTACTACAACAATATTTGATAAAGAGGGTGACACTTACTGTTTAAATTTATCATCTCAAATAAATTTAATTAAATCAAGAAATTAATAAATATAGATAAATTTTGTCTCACGTTTTCGATTCGTGTGTACATAATACTGATTACTTCAGCAAAAAAATTATTTCAGATTTGTGCTGTTATAGGCTATAAAACAGTGATTGAACAGCAAACGTAGACCTGCTATATCATGAGATTTGCGAGAATGGAATTTTCAAACACGCACAAAACCAGTGCACGTAGTTACATGACGCAAATATCTATAGACTGGTACTAGATCTTGAAATTTATACGAAGGTAGCATAGTGTAGAGACAGCATACTGGTTTATGGCATCTTGCGAGAGAGCGAAAAACACACTAACTTTGCTGACATGTAAACAATTATTATTTGAGATGCAGATCGGTGCACATATTGGTGAATGGACGAACGAGATAAAATGAAAACAGTTGTCGAAAACATGAGAATTCCTCGCTTTAAGGTACAAAGTATTATATGTTATAGTGTGATCCTATAGTTAGTCATATTGATACTATGGTTTCCTGTATTTTCAGTTATTGGAAGTAACGTGAACAAGGCAGCACGTCTGATGATGTACTACCCAGGCAGGGTAACATGCGATGAAGCTATCCGGACTGCCTCCAGAATGCCACCGTACCACTTTCTTGAAATGGAGAAGTTGACGCTTAAGGGAATAGCTAATTCTGGCACCATCTATGAGTACACAGAGAACGTGTCTGTCCCCGAAGGATATGCGTAATGATCACTATGTGGTTCCTCATCTAAAGTCGTGTATAAATGAATAGCAAAATACATAAATATATAAATAAATATGTGTTTGCGTGCGTGCGTGCGTGCGTGCATGCGTGCGCGCGTGTGTATGTATCCGGTTATCATGAAGTGCATGTGTAGGAGGTGGGAATTCATATTCATCATTGTTTTAATTTCGAACACTCTGAAAGTCTATATGTGCCATTTATATAATATACTATGCAATATTATATTTTGGTGCTGCTAAAATGTCTATTCGCTCACTGTGATAGGATGAAGGGCAAGCATGATTCCAGTGACCAGCGAGCAAACCTATCTTCCAGGGACTTTGAATACCCCTTGGTTGGTGCGTAGACCTATAACTATACATCTATTACTGTGCGTACTTTAAATTCATTTTTTAAGTATAACAAATGGTTTGAGAAATAGGAACAAATTGTTTTCTCATATAATCTAATCCAATTCCAAACGAAGATACTGTTGTTAATGTTTCCATCGAATTGAAACAGCATGTTCATTTGTACTAATAACACTAAACAATATTGTGTGTGCACATCCTTCAGTGTGTATTATAAAGAATGAACGTGATGATAAGATACGATGTAAACAGGGAGGCAGAAGGAGATAGGCATCATCATGGATGAGCTCTGTCTCATGAAAAGTACTGATAGCAGCGTGAATCGGCAGCAGTTAGTCGTGTTCCACGGGGACCCAGGCATCGGTAAGACACGTCTAATGAGAGCAATCATGGACAAAGCAGAAGACGAAGGGATAAGGTATATAGCAGTGCTAGCAGTCATCCGCAGTGAATTGTAACACCTTCGAATTCTGTACTCGCAGGATTTCTATATGAGCGACTGTATTCTTAGAGAAAATATACTAAAAAAATGTGGATAATAACACAGTGGGTAAATACCGATTTAGTGGCTTTTACTATTTCATCCATCTTAGAGCTTGACATAGATTTAACAGTGAGGATTTTCCACTTATCATTCACTGCACTTAGTTCTTCTGTGACAGGAATGTGAGACACTTCTGTAACAGAATAAGAGGGAGACAATAGTTTCTAAAGAAACATATATCTAAAGTTTGTGTTCTTAGTGTGATCAGTTATGAACTTTATCATCAAATGACTAACTCAGAATCTATGTGTGCTTCCAGGGTAATTGACTGCGCAGTGTCATCCAACGACACATCACACTACTTTGCAATTAAGACTCTCGTATCACTGATGCTGGACCCGGAAGACAGAATGAGTCAACATGAAAAAGAAGGCGTTCTCATGAACAGGCTGCGAGACAACCAGGAACTAGTCGACAGCCTCTGTCTACTGAATGATGTCCTTAACTTTCGTGTAAGTAGTAAGGTGCATGCCTTTTCACGAGGTGAAAGTTGCAAGCTTGCTTTCCTTTCCTCCTGTTGTCATGGATTGTCACAGCTATGGCACGATTAATTTTCTGCAACTTGTTCTGAACAAAATTAACTAAAACTTGCAATCAGAAATTTCACTCAAGGAAGTACAACAACCAAAATTCCCTTGATTTGTACTGCCCAGTGCACGACCTATAAGTGTAAAGATTTGAAAATTTACCTTCACTATCTGCTTATTATTAATATTATATTTATTATTTTTGTTAAGCTTGTAATTGCTTCATGCAAATCTTCTGTACGTGCATATATCTGTAATTATAATATGGTTAAATCTTTTTGCACGTGTTACTTGCAGTTTCCCACGTCTGCTGGTTTGCCGAAGATTGATTCTGCCACCAGAACGAAAGAAGTGCATAAAATTCTACAACAGATTGTCCACGTGGTAAGCGTTAAAAATATGGTATGCATGTGAGAGTATAGAGTTGGTATATATTTCATAAGAGATTGTACTGTAGGTTCCTATTCATACTTTTAATATATTATGTGGCTGCGCGTGTGCGTGTGCGTGTGCGTGTGCGTGTGTGTGCATGCATGCATGCGTGCGTGCGTATGTGTTGTGTGCGTGCGTGTGTGTAAGTGTGTGCGTGTGTCTAGATGGATAGATGGATGGATGGATGGACAGACGGACGGACTGACAGATGGATAGACTGACGGATGGATGGTTTGTCTCTGTTTTGGCTTCCATTAGAGCTCTGTTGGTGCCCTTCATATTCATGATTTATGGTCTACCCTTGTTATAGGGGCGGAAATGTGGGTGTAGGGGGGGTCAAGGTTCAGAAGACAAATTTCAAATACTCCCAGGGACGCGGTGAAAAATCGAAAACTTAATTCCCTTAATTACTACTATGTAACAATATTCGAAGGTTCACGGAATGCAATTTCCACAAAATGATTTGTTGAATGTTTTTTTCACCGGAACTACGACTCATTACTCTCTGTGGCGTGAGACGCGCGCATGTCTCTGAAACGCGAGTTTTGTTTGCGTGCAGGTTGCTCGCGACCAACCCCTCCTGTTCACCGTCGACGACGCTCACTTCATGGACGCCGAGTCGTGGGAGTTTCTCGACGACCTCGGCTGCGACAGCGCCGCGTTGTGCTGCGTGACAATGCGGTCGCTGAGCGATGGCACCGGGCTGCCGGAAGCCGCCCACCACGCGCTGAACGACGCGAGCACGCTGGCGGTGGCTGTCGGAGGGCTGGAGCTGGACGTGATAAACGCGCTCGCGTGTCAGATGCTGGACGTCAGCGCCGTGCCGCCGCAGATCGTCACGTAAGTACAGCCTCCTCTCTCTCCCCGCGCGCGGGCGCTGCAACGTACACGGGCGATTGTGATTGGGGTTAGGCCAAAACAAATGGTTACCGTTACATGCCGAAAAAAATAGGGTAGGTAGGTAGGGAAAACACTTTATTTTCTTGAAATATTTCATTTACGAACCATGTCCGAAGGATGTGCGTTGTGCCTTTTGAAGCAGAAACTGTCCAATTCATATATTTTTTTAAATTTTATTTTTTTATTTTTTTTTACTTTAAAGAAAATTGACAATAAAATGTTTAGGGTCGCTGGGAATAAATAGGGTTGGTCGGGGAACTGTAACCACACCTATATTTTGTTTTGTCCTTATGAGAGATTGGGGTTATAGGGTTGTGATTCTGGTCAGTTAGTGTTAGGGTTGTGATTGGGGTGAGGGTTATTTTCGTGATTGGGTTTAGGGTTGTGTTTGGGGTTAGAATTGTGATTTGGATTACGGTTAGGCTTGTTTGGGGTTAGCCGTTAGGGTTGTGCATGGTTTGGATTACGGTTAGGCTTGTTTGGGGTTAGGGTTGTGATTAGGGTTGTGGTGAAGGTTGTGATTGGGGTTAGTGTTATGGATGTGATTGCGGTTATGGTTTGGATTAGGATTTTGATTGGGGTTAGATGGAGTTAGGGTTATAGAGTAAGGGTTGTGCCTGCATGGAGTTAAGAATAGGATTGTGATTGGGAGTTGGGGTTAGGGTTGTGATTGAGGTTAAGGTTTGGGTTAGGGCTATGATTGGGGTTAAGTTTAGGGTTGTTATTAGGGTTAGGGTTGCTATACCCAAATTGTTTGGTATACCCACGCACACATTGGTGGCGTTCGCTAATGGTTATTTTTCTGATTTTCGTATATAAGATTCTATATATCATCAACACCACCTTGTTGTTATCTCATATCTGTAATGCTGCTCGTCTCACATTTTGTGTGTTGGACAGAATGTAGTAAAAGAAAATGTAAAAGTGACATATATAGCAAAAGCACATAGCACATTTTTCCTTAGGAATGTAACCTATACTACTGTAGCCATAGGCATATGTGCATAGTAATTTGAAAAAAATCCCTTATTAAATTTGATTGCTTGCTAACATGCATAATTACATTTATGTGTGCTTGTAATGGCATGCTTTTCATGTGAATGCATGCATGCATATATCTGATATCAGTTGATAAGTAGAATTCAGTGATTTAACATAGCAACTAGTGATATAATCCACTTGAAACTAAAACAGACAGCGTTTTTGAAGAGCGTGAATAAACCAGAGCTCCTTAAGGGCTGGACACACTAGGTGATTAAATCGGGTGATAAAATTGCCGTGAAATCGCCTAGTGTGTCCACTCAATCGCCGCCGATTTAGTCGCCCGATTTCGTTGCCCGATTACATCGCATAGATCAAAACTTTTTGATATTATCGGGCGATTTTGTCGCCCGATTTTGTTGCCCGATTTAATCGCCTAGTGTGTCCGGGGCCGGCGATAAAATTGCCCGATTGTACAATTCATCAGCCAATCAG